TTGTTTCTCAAGAGGAACAATAAACACTACTCGTCCCCTTACTGTCACTTCAACTCAGTGCTCACTGTTTGTAGCTACAACAGAACAGCGTTAGCTTGAGCGTAGCTAACAAATTAGCCTTTAGCCAAATGCTAACTTCACCCTACTCCAAACACTAACGTTAGCGCAAATGTTTAATCACATGGGCCGGCTTCTACGGTAGTCGTCCAAGTCAAACACAATAAATACCGACACTGGGTGATATAGCTGAAACATACCAGTGACTTTTGACTGCTTTCTTCAAAACAGCTTACACACTAGCAGGGTGGGCGAATTGCGAACAGAGTAGCTTAGCTAATCGTTAGCGCGGCAAGCTAGTTTGCTGGCTGCCTTCTTTTGATTTCACTGTACGCGTCTCTGTGCATATATCTTTTTACGATTATCACCATAATAGCAGCTGTTCACTCACCGATAGCACGAATAAGATCTCAAGGATTTAGTAAGGCAGTTGGACTAAATGTCAAATTCTGAATTTTTTTTATTATTGTCTTTCAAATCTGAGATGTTTCTGTTTTAACATAGATACCTCAACTGTCTGCAAGTAACACCAGAGCTTGAGATATTGTCCGTGTTGCAGGCTGTTTGAAGGTAACTATTATCTTCCTCGACCATTAAGACAACTCAAGTTTACGATAGTGTTGTTAAAGCGAGCGTATTTCCTTTGTGTTTCCTCTTATGAACAAAACTGTATTTTAGCTTTGCTAGCGCGCGGTCTGGCCAAGTTATTCACAAAAAGACTAGTGTGTAAATATAAAACTGTGACCCTTATATCCAAGGACCTGGTTATGTATGCCTTGACTCTAAAGCCAAAAACGCTGTCTAAAATCTGTACACGTTGTTGACTAAACGACTACCCCTGCTTCTAACAATGCCCCAAAAACTACGTCAATGTGCGTTGCCGGTCTTATTTATATGACTCGGTCAGTTCCATTATACTTTCGGAAGGGGTACACATTACATAGACCTTTGTCTATGTGCTCTTATACAATCGAGTCGACAAAATGAGGACAAGTACCAAGCTTCTCTTTATAAACACACTGCAATCACAAATACAAGCAAACAATTCGCTGACCTGTTTGGAGAAAATAAAGAGAGTTGTTGGTTTGTACCAAATTAATCTCATTCACAAACAACGCGAGAACAGGATGTGTGAGAGTTCAGTATCCATCCATGGTTCAGTATCAAATCTGCGACTCACGACTGTAAATTGTTATACAAAGCCAAATAGTCCCCTTATTGTTATGTTATCACGACTAATTGCTTCTTCTATTATTAAACATCCAATAAAGGCCAGTGTGACCAACCACTTACTCAGATTGACACTCACATTGAGTGTTAAATGCGTCCCCATAGAAGTAATCCATGGTACATAGTGACATAAATTGCTAATGTTAAGGGTTTAGGCTGCGTGTTGTAAATATAGAACAATAAAGTTATTTTGAAGCATTTTTTCTTTAGACGCAAAATCGTCACGAACAGGATTCGAACCTGTGCGGGGAAACCCCATTGGATTTCGAGTCCAACGCCTTAACCTCTCGGCCACCGTGACTGTATAAAAGGATACCACTGTCAGGCATCTTTTTATATATGCATATATTAGTCTATACATATGAATTATGATGACGTTTTACAGACATATACGTACTGTAATGTATTCCTTTTGATTGGCTAATTCTAGTGGTACGATTAATAGGGACAATAGGTAAGCTGATGGCAGAAGCACTAAGTGTTGTCGTAAGTTTGACACAAGAGGGAGCCAAACACCATCAAAACAGCTCGAGTTCCTCACGGAAGTTCAGAGAAACCCTTTTTGGAGATGACTTTACCCTATGATTAACCTTAACAGTTTCGATTAGTTTGAGAAAGGCCAATATGTATGTCACCAAAACACACCTATGCAACATGATCACTGTTTAACTATGTTGTAAAAAGCAACACTTTGCAACCGAACACCCCTTTACAGATGTCCCGAGTTCTGCAAAAATCGATCTCTTTATCGTTGTCTCATATTTCGTCCGCTTCCCGATAAACAGGCGGGGAAAGGATTCGAATGAATGGTGTTCATTGTATTGAAAAACTCAGGTATTTAACCAAATAATTTAGAAAACTTTAACTCAAAAGTTTTTCAAATGGACTTCTTCTCCTGTCGTAACAAGTTCCAAGCTATCGCCTAAAGCGTGTTCGTGAGCATTTTCATTTAACATTTGTTAATAGTATTTCAGAGCTTTGAGAATAAAACGTTTGATTCAACTCACCATTATGTTATGGGGTGGACCCACAGTTGTATTTTGTAAAACAACTCGGGCATATAACTTATAACTATGCAAGTTATTTTGTAATTTGGGTGAAGCTATCATATATTGTAGCTCTGATCCCAACACCTGTTGTATCATGTTTTTATATAGAGCTCAAACTTTGCTATGTAAATAAAGGTTGAGCAATTGAACCACTCCCTTTGCTGAGAATAATCCTACACTACCTTTTACCTACAGCTAGTTTAAATACGGTTTCTTGTGCACTGTAGGTCAAACATGCAAGTCACTGGGATCACATTTAAGCCACACTAAACAACTAGGATGTCATTATTACCTCCCTTGACCTCGAAGACTGCAAAAACAAGACCAAAAACAATATTTGGATGTTACAAATCTTTATTGATGTATACATTACTATATTACTAGATGAAACAATTGTCAGAAGGCGGTTATTTAAACCCTCTAGGAATTACTGCTGTTAAGGAAACTTCTTTGGTTTAAGTGGTTAAAGGTGGGTTATGTAATTTATTTCAGAAACACTTGTTATATTCCATGGAATGCTCTTAACATCCCGATAGCAATGAATATATTAAATGCTTTGACAATAAATACATAACAAAATGTCATCTGTGGAAGCCGTAGCGCTGTAAAAAGCACGACCAATCCTTTTAGCCGGCCCGGCTAAAATAACTGGATGGCCTACCTGCCTGTCAGCCTTCCAGCTGTGCACAAACTTATCTCATGCCCTCATTGGTCATGTGCGCGTTCGTGTGTGTTGGAGGAGGGGCTCTGTAAGGAAGTCTGAAGGAAGAGGCAGATTTTTTCGGGCTGTGTATTTTTCAAATTCTAGCGAGCTGGTTTCTCCAAAATTACATACCCCACCTTTAACTAGATAAATGGTCTATAAAGAACTCTGTATAAACACAGATGACGTTAAACATGATATCACTACTTGATAAGCAAAGATCTGTTGCTTAAAACAGCTCCCACATACAGTATGATCCAGACATAAGCAGTCTGCTTTCAGGACACATAATAACAGACTGTTGCACACATTAACAAATCTATATATTCATTTTTAACATTAGCAGACAAAGATATCATCAAAGATTTGCATGAATAAGCAGACAATACCTCGAAGCCAGTCACATATTAACCTCTACAGTTCAAATAATGTTCACATAAGCCTAGTGTTCAATCCCTTTTCAGCAAGATTATTTATACAAAGAAGAAATAAAAAGAAAGTAAGGATTATCATAATATCATTTAATAAACACAAGTAACAACTTCTTTCAAATCATTCATTTCTTCTTTTTTTTACTATACAGATCCCATTAAGCAGATTCGCAGGTTAACAACATAGGTAACATTCTGTAATACATGGATAAAAGGTTTATGTTAAGTAATTTTGAAGATATTTCTGCTATTTCATACTTATCCACTGCAAGACCCCAATACAGTTTTTGCATAGTTAAAATACTCCCAAAAATTGGGGCCCTATATTTTTTACTTATAGTTAATCATCTATTTGTAATATAGGAGGCATCAATACTCATTACAACTTATTTCAGTTCCCAAGGTCTAATCCATTTAAAAATTGTACATACATATGCCTAACCCTGAGGCAATTTCATCCCCCTTTCCCAGACTTCCCAACACCCAGACTTGTCCTCTTTCTACTACATGCCCAGTAGTTTCCACAGGGGCGGAACACCTGTGGCTCCAGACTGTGTCTTCCTCTCTGCACCGTCTCAACAAGGAGGCCAGAGCATGAAAAATGGGCTGAGCAGGAGTCATCCATCAAAGCTAGGAATGCTGTCTTCTGCCTTTATCCACTTTGCTGACCTCTCTGGATCCTTGGCACCTGGTACCACTTGCTCAATTATTTCTAGGGAGTCATGGCATTAGACATCTGTAACTATGGCTGGTAGAGCACTAATGGTGCGCAACTAGAGCAAGTTCACTTTTTGAAACTTCCAGGCATGACTTACAAACAAAAAGTGTATGGGGAATGATTGGAAATAGAATGTACACCTTCTATGAACTTCTCAGCTTTTATGACTATGCCCCGTAAAGTGTTGGCTGCGAGGAATTCCTCAGGAGAACATTTTTAGTTTTTTTAGTATCACTGTTATCTACTAAAACATAGGAATCCATACCTTCAGGACTGCAATTACTAATACCATACTCATATTTGCAAGGCAAATACACTGTAGGAGTGTGTAGGAGTGTGAGAGTGTGTGCATGAATCTAGGGGCAAACGATTTAGTGATGGTGACCTGGCAAATGTATAAGATAGTGTTTATATGTTAAATATTGGTAAACATTTCACCATGCAAGTTATTGATATGAAGTAACTCAAAACAAATTCACAGATACAACATTTACTGATAAAGTACACACTCAGGGCAGTTATCATAAAGTATGGTTGTGAAACTGTAAATACCTAGATAGTAGTGTGCCTCACAGAAGAAAATAAATCCACACATTAACATATAAGGTTGCCCTGCAAAAAAGCAAAAGGGCTGTACAAGGCACATTTAGTATGTCAGTATTAAACCTGCAGGGTTCTTTGTGTTACTAATGCAATATTCTAGTAGCTTCTATCCTGCAACGATGTCCTTCGTTGCACCAGTGTAATTAAGCACAATTGTGTGAGCGCTTATTAATAAATGCGTTTGTCCTTTAGTTTTTTTAGGCTAATGATTGACGTGATTTGCATAAACATTTAGACTTTTTCAAATGCCATCTATTTGTCTTACACCTGGAGGATACTCAATTGGCAATCACAAATTAATAAAATACTTTACAGCCCTACATGCACCTCCTGTGGTATGTTAGGTAGAACATAAATGATAAAGGTGAAATTGACCAATTGGATTGCACTATGGAAGTATTTCTCCGGGCGCAAGTGAAGGACAGGATACAAGACAGCGCCACTCAACTTAATAAAGTTCAACTGTTAGTTAAATATTTGTACATAGCTCCAAAGATTTTAGTAAACAACCTCTAGTCCACAACAAAACACCCCAGAACCTTCTCACTGAAAACCCTGACACTTCTCATTCCAACGCTTCCACAACCTGGCAACACACCGCCTCAACATTCTGTGGGCATTACCGCTGCTGCCGAAGATTTACTGTTTTTACAAAAACAAACACAAAGAATGAAGAGGCTGGTCGTCAGAGGCAGACAAACAGAGCAGCAGGGAGATGGTTGGCCCAGTGCCCTGGAGATGTGCTGCTATTGAGGAGGTGGGCACCTGTTAAGGGGAGTGAGTTATGGTACACTGGTGCGTTGGTGCTTTCTTTGGACAACCCTCCCACAGGGTTTAGGAAGCACTTTCATTCGGACACACTGTAGGTGTATGTGTTAACCTAGTTGCTTAAACAGTCTGTTTCAAGGTGTTTTAGACTAAGCTTGTAATAAGGTAGTGGTAAGGGGTTAGGGTTAGGGTTGATGGTCCAAGTATAGACTACTTTATATTTCTAGTGTTTACGGGTGTTAATAACAAGAACATAAGACTATTTACAGTGGAGGGATGATTTATGCCTGCTGGGTAATCATAAATGTAGAAACTTGTGCAAGAAAATATATATAATGGCAATCAAGCGACTTGCTCGACAGCAACTGTTGCTGTGGGAATCTGCGTTTCTTCTGCTTTCTCTACAGGGGTTTTTTGTTTATCTTCTTCCTCCTCTTCTCCATCCTCGCCAACATCATCATCAACCTCTGCGACTGCCAGGCCAGCGACATGATCACCATTGATCTTGCACTCAAAGCTTGGTGCCTCTCCATTGATTGCCAGCTCTGCCTTGATGCTGGAGGTGGAGCCGAGCATCTCGTGGATCTGCTCCACCACGCCTTCCCGGGTGTGCTCCTCCGACAAGACAAACTCTCCATCCATGCTTCCCAGAGCAGGAATCTCCACATGGACCTTTTCCTCAGTCGAGCCCAATTCTTGTGTGGGGACCGGCCCGTCTCGGACCTTCTTGACGTTAAAGGTCAAGGGAGACACCTTGAAAGAGGACGCCCTGGCAGTCGGGCTCTTGGGATGGTTAGGGGTGAAGCTCTTTTTCATTCTGTCACGCTGCTCCTGAGGCACGATTGCTGTGGTGATCCGGGTCATCTTTTTCTCGATGCTCTGAAGCGAGAACACCTTCTTGAGGCTGTCTACCTTCTTCAGGCTGTTGCGCTTGAACTTGTCAGACCTTCTCTCATACGGGCTGGGAGGGCCCAGGCCCATCGCGGCGTCGCCCTCAAACATCTCGTCCTCCACATGGTGCATTGTAAGATCATCTTCGTCTGAGGAGAGGCTGATGGTCAGAAGACCTTCATCGTTGGCACGGCTGCCATCAATAGAGCCGGTAACAGACGGAGCAGGAAGGATGGAGTCTGCATCATACAGGCTTGGTTGGGGGGTCCTGATGGAGCCCTTGACTAACACGCTGGTGGGGATCTCATGGTCTTCCTATAGGGAAACAGAAGGACAGAAACAGGAGGGTTAAGTGGGTGGTTATTTCACGAAGTCATATATAGGCATTATTGCTTGAACAAAGCTTTAGTTTGACAAGGAATTACCTTGATGGTATCTTTGTTTGAATTGGTTCTGGTCAGAGTTAGAGTATACAACTTTACTAGTTCCAATGATGAGTACTTTCAAACACATATTGCTATCAAAATGTAAATGTATGTCTTATGTCATGGTTAGCCATTGTAATACACTACACATATTGAGTTGGTCTGCCTGCAGAGGACTGAGGAAACCAGTCTCTGCATGCCTCCCCCTTCTTCTCCTCAAGCCATCTGAGGAATTCCACCTGTTTCTCAGCAGGAGTCTTACATTTCGCTAAAAAATGTTCCTCTTGTATTGCTCTCTCTGCCTTTAACCGGCCATGCTTGAACACATCAATGGCCATAAACACAGTGAAATTGAGAGCAGTAGGTTCACTATCCAGAGTTTCAATTTGTTTTTCCTCAGTCTCTTCTTCCTCCCCCTTGCTTGCTGCCCATTCATCCATGCACAATCACACAATCACACACATGCAGGCACACGCATACACAATGTTCCACTCCACTAGGGATTTATGAGTGAGTGTTCCCACCCCCATAGCCCCCATTATTTTACACCCAGGAGTGAGTGGAGAGTGAAGGTGCAGCTTCAGTGGTTGACATACTCCACTACACATTTGAAAGGCTTGTAGACAAACCCTTCCTGTGACATCAGCTTTAAGTGCCATCAGTGGATACTTGGGTTGACTAAATGCAACACAGTGTGCTGCACATTTTTGTGTTCAGGTACAAGGTATGTCTAGGTACGAGTCCAGCAAAGGCTTGAATGAATCGATGAGTCCTTGTGATCCCCAAAGTGCTAACCAAGTGGGCTAGGATTACAGAAGCATAATGAAACGGGGTTTTCCAAGGGTGAGATTATTCACGGTTTGATTCAAAATATTGTTGCTTCTGAATCAAACTATAAATAGTCACAGGTCAATAGTCAAACTTCTCAAATATACGATGTTTACCCTCATGAAATATCTATATGAGGCGCTAGTATCGGCCACCGTCACCATCAGTATACTGTATGTTGCAATGACATTCTTTTTCAAATGATAGTAGTTTCTGTTCACCATGTTTGTAACAATGAGTCTGCATTAAAGTATGAATGCATTTCCAAGAATGCACGAAAGCTCTTAAGACATTACAGCATACTTACTTACAGCATGCCATAGGTTTTTGAAGGAGTGAGCAATGCATCTTTTCCTGGTGTGTCATTAAGACATACTTAAGGACTGGGCCAACCAGGTGGAGTCCTGCCTCCAGTCCATTCTTCACTAAACACTCAATGGTGTGTTTCAGCCTTGAAGGATGAGGGTATTTAAACCTGCCATCTCTCTTTAGGACATTCAAGCCAATTTTGGGCGAATTATGTTTTAGTATATGAGAATGAGATGCAAAAGGAAGTACTCCATCAGAGATTGAAAGGTTCTATACATATTATTAAGTTACTTTTGCACCATGTTATGCATTTCTCTTATTTCATACATTGCCTGAGAGAGTGCTCTTTTTAGGCACCTAAACAATATCATTGTGTATGGAAAGCTCTTGAGACGTGAAGACACCATTTTGAAATCCTCTTGTTTTTACAGCTTTGCAGACACCTGATACCTCTAGCCTTGATCCAAACATGCAGTCATGAGTTCAGGTGTGTGCCAAGCATGTGTGGTATCTCCCAGTAAATGCTTATAAATCTGTCAGCCTGTTCTTAAAAAGGCACATCATTAATTGCAGAGCCACGTTTACATGGAAAGAGATAAAAGACAGTTTTAAAAAAACGTATAAATATATAGCACAAAATATCGTACAATAGGGGTTACTAGTAAGGGTGGATACATTGGACATACTGTATGTGCCGACAGTGTGTCAGAATGTATTTACCACCAACAACCACAAAGGTCATGTCGCCTTTCTAAAAAAAGCTGGGAGTTGTATTGAATTGCAGGTTTGTAACTTGAAAACCCCAAAAAGACAAAAGTAGCACCTTGGGGAACCACAGCTCCCGTTACCACTACCTTTGGTTTGGTCCCTTTCGGGTTTGTTCTCTGTAGCTCTCTCCTGTCAAATCTGAATGAGCAGTATCTGGTTTTATTTCTTGGTCTGACGTGGCACCACACCTACAAAAACTGTGTGGATCTCAACGTGTTCAAGCAGAATCAAATCAGAGTCAGGAACTAGGTGGGTTACAGCCCGTGTACTGGACAAGTTACGTGTAAATAAATACAAGAGAGCTACTTGAAGGGAGATAATATTACTTAGAAGTTATGCTTATCTTTTTTTCTCCGTGTACATTTCAGGTCAAACACAGTCAACCAGTATGACGTTTGACATTTTAGGTTCAGAATTTGAAAAGAAACTGGTCCAATATGGCCTTTCCAGACCCTCATTGGAGCATTCCCTGATAATAAACACTAATCCCCCTCGTCTGGTGGTGTTAACGTTTCTAAAGATTTCAATCGTGACTCCTCTGCTCCAGTCTAGGCACGCCGAAGATTTTCTGATTTGGCTCGAACATGTTTGATATAATCACTGTGGGCGCTGGAGTGTGTGGGAGGCAGCAACTGAAACTCAAACACCCTCCAATGAAAACCAAGTTCTCCTAATACATGCTGTCCTAAACCTGCTGCAGTGTTGATATGGGCATGCCTTACTCAAGCTGATAAATACAACCAATGCCTCACTTGTCAAATGTAATTGACAAGTGCTTATACTAGTCCTACAGCCAATCTCAAGTGTTCATACGGGGCTTTTTATCACCAGCATTAAATGTATCTGGCTCTTTTTATACTCTTGTATTTGGTTTGAATGGGAAATATGTTGTTTGGTTGTCCAATAGTGTAATGGAGTGAAATTAGTGTGTCCTCAATTTAACCGACAACAGTTTTGGCGAACAAGCTAGAACAAACAAAATCTTCCTAAATACCATTTGACCCAGGTCTATTTTCTCTCTGTGTGAGTGTGTGTGTGGACCTCACATTCTGGCACTTTTCTCTTGGGAACCATGCTAATGAATGCATCCTCTAAGCAAGCACTCATTAGCCACTGAGAATGTAGTATGTTAGTTTGTATGTGTACGAGTGTCTGTGTGCCAGTATCTACTTGTGCAACCATGTAGGACATAAGCCATAGTTAAAAACAAGTGTTTAAAAGAGCAAGATGAGAGTAAATTAACACACATTTGGAGCAAACCAAGGAAACAATGTTAATTTAGCGTGACAGCAAGTTTACTGGTACGTTAGCACTTCAAAGACATTCGGAACGCTTATGTAATGGAGTCTCATTTAACAGTTGCATGGTAAAACTGCCATCTAATTGCAAGTCCTGCAAGGTGTTACTAAGCTAGAGCTTATGTAAGGGCGCTCTGCGGAGTCTCTGCTCTATTCAAACTGAGAGAGATCAGGGCGGGGCAGCACAGAGTCTCCACTGATGGGCTCATGTTACTCTGAGTGTGTGTGTGTGTGTCTCTGTTTATACCAAATGTGTAATGATACCCTATGATGTTACTTTGCCTTTTGTTCTCATGCCTTTGTTTATGCATTTGTGTGCGTGTGTGTGTGTAATTAATGACAATCCCATCATTCTTCGCTGTACTAGGTGTTTGGTGCTAATTAACAAACTTTATCACACTGTCACACTAAACTACGGCTGTATATAATGTCATGTTTCCCCCCCTATTTTTCAAATAAAGCATGAAGCATATTTTATGACATCATTACCATGGAAGTAACAATCTTTTTTATTAATCCAATATCATCAATGCAAAGTAAAAACATTGATATACTGTATATCTTGGTGTTGATGCACAGTGCCGATAGCAAGCAGTGTCTTTAGCGAGTGGTGCTAGCGCAGTGATAGCAAGGCAACATTGGCGAGTGTGTGATCGATAAAAAGTGTGTGATGGTAGAAGTAATGTTATAGCTGTGAACGTACCAGTGCAATGTCTGTACAGTTTTTATTATTGTAGGTGAATTAATTTGACAGGAGTTTTTTTTTTTTTTTTTTTTAAACTAAACAAATATTCTCAAAGGACCGAGTAAAAACACATCAATAGAAGGTGAATTTTAGCGAGATGATATAAGGGTAACTGATTATGTTATAAAAGCATTAGATAGTGTCTGGCATCTATTGCAGGCCCTTCAATGGAATCAGTCTGTGTTTCTAAATTGGGGTTTTCTATTTTCTATTTTGTTGTGCTAAATGTTTTGACATCATGTATGAGGGTTTTCAGTCTGTGGCTAGAAGGATGGCTTTATTGTCTCGTGCTTTTACATTAGTTTATTTTTTGTCTAAATGTATTAATGCTGCTTTTTAATATATTTATTGATGTACAGCACATTAAATGTGCTATATAAATAAAGTTGGATTGGATTGGAAATAAAAATAATATCGAAATCATATCCTGGAGAAGGCAAATATCGAATTGCTGTAAAAAAATATTGTACTGTAATAGTGATAAAAACTGTCATTTAAACCTTCCACAAAATAGTTATTTTTTCAAAAGGCGATTTATTGAATTAAAGGAGATTTTGAAATAAATGTTAAATAAAGCTAATAATAACAACTGTTGGTTGGTATTGCACATTAGTAAGTGGGAGTGTGTGTTAGCAACTTCAAAAAGAAGTGTTTCCCTTGCCCTTCAGATGATGAATGGCGAGGTTATACAGGTGTGTTGGCACAGTGAGTCAGGTGCCAATGAGAGGGTACACCATCACCACCACACACACAGAAATGCATGTGTGTGCACATTTGCTACTGCCAAGTCCCTGCAATTATTCTGTTACAGAATGAAAAAGACAGGAGGCTTAGATAAAAAAAACAGGGAGAACAGAGATTGCACACAAAATGAATCAAAAGCTTTTTAAAGCTTGATATCAGACCTGTTTGTACTGCGCATTTCAAACAAACGGCCTTGGA